TTTGCCTATGCCACTTAGCTTTTATAAAGATGTACACTCATACCTATTTTTGCTAGAGATAGAAATAGATGATTTTCACTTTTGCAACAAAGCTGAGCAGCAAAACTAACTTACATCAGGGGTTTTGACAACTGCTTGAGAGGCCCAGCCTTGCTCTGTCCTAAAATCCATCTACAGGCTTTGCATTTATCAGAGCATTTCTGCTTCCATAAGTGTGAATGTTATTTTAAGTTGTATGTGTTATTTGGTATGAATTGGTAAGGTATTATTTTTTGAGTCTGCAGACTTTCCAAAGCATTTCTATAGAAATGAATGGTAATGCCTTCTTCACGACCTACTGATGAAGGTTTCATAGGCACACTCTACTTTTGGATGGGGGAATCCCATAATTCCAAGAAGGAAGGAAAATCTTGTCTCGGGCCATTCAGTATTTTGATGAAGTTTGGGGTTGGGGTATGAAAGAGCGTATTCAGTCTCAGGTTGCATCCGCAGTTATAGCTGATTTATGGAGATCAGGAGTCTCTTCAATAAGGGGAAGGGAACTTAAAAACAAGGTTAAGAGGTCTCTATGCTCCTGCTTGCTTGCTTTGAATGTTTGGAGGTGAGAGGCCTTAGCTCAGTACATACAAATCCGGCTTGGTGCTTGGATGAGGAGAATGACAAGCACAACTTTCACTGGAATGGGACACAGTCGGTTGTATTTACTTGCATCAGAGTGCCTTAATCTAAAAGAGCCAGACCCAAAATGAATTGAGACCAATTCTGTTTCTCCTTCCTAGAGCCAGGAGTGTAGACAATGTACGTCAATGGAGAGGCCAACGTCACTCGTCCTACTCAAGCTGCTTATGGAAGAGGTCGGAGGCGCCAAGGGTGGCGCTGAGAGCTCTCTTTCCTCTACCAGGCTGTTAATAGCAGCTTCTGGCTCAGCCTGTGGCTTGGGCTGCCCATTTTGGATTTGGCTGGTGACTCTGGGCAGGCTTTTCGCCTCTGCCTGTTTGTGTTAGAATGTGACACATGGACCCAGCAGTCAGTGAGGTGCCAACCATGTAATCCGACACCATATGCTCCCAAGTCAGGAGAGAGTAGAGCAGATTCCTGTCCCCCCAACCCCCAAAATTGGAAGTAGGTTAATTACATTCATCTATATTTCTAGCTCTAAGGGTCACTGTTGGCACATTATTCTTGATGTATTTAGGTGGTCATTTATGACCTAAATTATGAAGTGTGAGCTTTACCAACCTACAAGGTGGTGTGACGAGGATATTCTCAGAATGAACCCACCACTCACAAAGGTATTCCCCTCCTAGAATGTTCCTCATTGGTACTGCTTTTACAAATGTATTTAAGTGTTCCTTTGAGGGGAAATTGGTGCTGCTCAACTTGCCAGCATCCTCTGCCCAGATGTTGGCTTGTTTGTGACATTTAACCCGTTTTCCAGGAGATTTTGATGGATGGAACCAGCTGTGTCATTTCTCTGCTGCTTTTGATTCTTGAAGCTTAAGTGTAAAAGCCAAACTTTTGACTAAAACACGAAGTCTATTTGATTCAGGGCATTTAACCAATACAAGCTAATATCGGTCCTTCGTGGCTAATATTTGTCGAAATTTTGACAGTGCCAGGGTGGCGCTGAGATGTTTACATGCAATATCTTATTCAATCCTTGAACAACTTCTGTGGCAGGAACTCTTATTAGCCTCATCTCAATGTGAAGAAATTGGAGCTACCCGTAAGCCTGTGTTAGTTCCGCCAGCTGGATCCTCATACTTCTCCCCTGGGCCCTGGGCCTGGAAGGCTGCCCCCCAGCTCCTCTGTGCCATAACTTACTTTTGGGCTTGAACAGTGAAGATCCCTGGTGAGGAAATTAGAGAGTAGAGGGAGGAGCATGAACTGAAAACTAGAACTAGTTAAGTGAACTAGTTTGGATATGAGCCTAGCCTCCATACTTACCAACTGTGTGCTCTGAATAAGCTACTAAGCAGCTCTGCTCCTCAAAGTTTGTAAAATAAAGATGATTCTACCTGTTTCTTGACTGGTGGTAAGGAAGATTAAATTAGATGAAGCATGTAAAACTGTCTGGCCACATTCTCTATGGTAAAAGTCTGTTTTCCCTTTCCCTTTGCATTTTGCAAATAATCTGTGGGGATGTTACTTTACTCCCATAATCTGTTCCCTAAAGTGTCAGATGCCCAAATCTTGCTCACTTGGATCTCCTTAACCATATGGGAAGTCACCTGTATGCTGAGTGTCATTTTCCAGGCTGCTTTTGTCTCTTTGTTTAAGGGAGTGTGTGTTATCCTTGTGAGGGGTACACCTGGCATGTCTATAGCTCCATAGCTTCCTGTATTTTAAGAGTTTTTTTTAAAATTTATCATCTTTGACATTTCACAAAAATAATGTGCTAAATGCCTTCTCAGTGTGTGTGATTCCTATGATCTTCCCTTTGATTTGTTAACATGCCAGATGATTAATGGCCCTCCTCAGGTTGACCTCCCCTTGTGTTCCTGAAACATTATTTGGTGCTGTTTGCCAATATTTTATTTATATTTTTGCATCCATGTTTACAAGCGAGATTGGTTTGTAGGTTTTTTTTTTGGTGTCATCTTTACCAGCTGCAAGTATCAAATTGGGGCATTTTCCTTCTTTTCCTACTATCTGGGATAGGGTAAGTAGCATTCAGGTTTTTTTCTTTGAAGGTGCAATTTGTGTGAACTCATTTAGGCCTGCTGCTTTTTTGGTCTGCATTTGTTTTGTGGTAGGTTTTGTTAATTTCCTTTTGTTCTTCTAGAAACGGTATAAACTTTCTGTAATGGGAACAGTTTGGTACATTGTATTTTCTTGAAATTTCTTAAAGTTAATCATATCTTTAGATATTCAAACCTATTTCCTGGATTACATATTGCATATTTTCTTTTCTTAAAGATTTATTTATTTATTTATACAAGAACCAGGGTACAGGCCAGATCTGCAGGAGGGTGAGAAGATTCACCAGAGACAGAGCAGGGAACAGAACAGGCAGACTGACGAAATACAGGGCTAAGGGGAACAGCGGGTGAGACAGGAGAGGTCTGCCGCGCCATATGGGACCCTTGCTGGCTGGCCAGGATTGAACCTGCGCTGCAGAGGCTACTGTCAGCTTCACAGCGCTGCACTCAACCGCCTGTGCCACCGGGGGAGGCCCTACATATTTTCTAGTGATGTTTTCAGTTTGTCCTTTGCCTTCTTATTTTGTGAATTTTTTCCCTCCCTTTTTTTTCCTTGAAGAGGTTAGTGGTTAGTCTATTTTGTTGGTTTCTTAAAAGATCAGATTTTTGATTTATTAGTTTTACCTTTTCTTCCAAAGTATGAGGTTTTACTCTTTCTTTCCCTTCTCTTGTGTTGGCTTTGTTATTCTTTTTCCAACTTGTGATTTGTTTACTCTATTTTCATTCTCTTATCTTTACTAATATCTGCTTTAATTGCAGCCCATAGGTTTTGATCTGTCATTTCTAAAAATGATCACAGCAACATTTTCTCTATCACATATTAAATTTTCATACATATCTGAGTCTAGTTGTGTTGTCATGCTTGTGCTTGTAGCATTTATTTGTCTTTAGGATGGATCAAGCATTTTAAGTTACAATTTTATATATTAATAATACATTTGATACATAACACATGATAAAACAAATCACTACTCATTACTTTGCTTTTTGTCAGGTTTTTCTGGGCTACATTCACTTGCTTATGAATAATCTCTTCCATGTATATTTTATAATTATTTGTCATATTTTATTGGGATTGCATTATGGAATTTTTTTTTAAGATTTATTTTTACTTACTTATGCATACAAGAGCTAGGATGTAGGCCAAAGGTATGGGGAATAGGTGAAAAGGACTCACCAGAGAGAGACTGGGGAGCAGGGCGGGCAGATCTACTGAAATACACTCCTGAGGAGAGTAGCGGGTGAGACAGGAGAGGTCTGCTGTACCATGTGGATTAGCTCTCTGGATGGGGATGGAACTCATGCTGCAGGGGCTGGCAATAGCTTGATAGTGCTGAAACTTTAACCTCTGTGCCATCAGGGAGGCCCATTTTATCTCATTTCTTGCTAATTTGAATGGGATATTTTTCCTTCTATATTATCAAAGTAATAATTTTTAGTTTGCAAGAATGCTATTGATTTTTGTGTGTATTTTGGTAACTGGTCACTTTATTAATGCTTTTCTTTTTTTTTTTTTGGCTTATTTTTATGTGTTTTCCAATTGCATCATATGCAAACAATGATAACCGCGTGTTCATTTTCCAATAGTCGTTTCTCTTCTCTTATTTTTTTCATTTTTGCATGTACTGCTTGGCATTTTTAGAATAATATTAAATGACAAATGTCAAAGAATGTCCCCATGTCTTATTGTTGACTTTAAAGGGGATGCTTCTAGTGTCTTAATAGTGAGCATGGTTCTTAATTGGGAAGGATATGTATATACTTTATCTAAAGGAAAGTTTTTTTTTAAGTTAGAGATGAATTTCAACTTTATCAAATACTTTTGACAGCTTTCTGGGTAATCATATTTTTCTCCTTTGACCTATTTATATGATGAATTTCATTAATGGATTTTCTAAGATTGAAATATTTTTGAAATCTGAAATGAGTCAATTTGCATAATGTACTGCTGGATTCTCATTGTTAACATTTTATTTAGGGCTCGCACATTAATATTTGAAAGTTAGGTTGGTTTGCATATTTTTTCTAATCTTTGTAATGTTTTGGGTACCAAAAATATAATTCTTAATGGATTTGTAATAGTCTACCAGGTGGATATGCCACAGATGTTTCCTTTACATATACATTTATATTGTTTCCCATTTTTCAGTCTTATAAATAAAGCCACAATGAATAGTCTTATTAATCCCTCTTCCTCCTTAGGTCTTAGCTCAATTTCTACTTCCTCAGAGAACCCCTTCACCCCCCTGACTACAACAAATCCTCCAACTCCTTCATGGAGTTATCTTTTTTTCACAGTGCTTGCTATGCCTGCAATTTCCATCAACTGTATGTCTGTTTGATTGTCATCTGTCTTCTCTATTAGATGGTAAGTGACACAAAGTCAGGGATTGTGTTTGATATAGGACATTACTGCATCCTTCAAGGCACTCAGCTCCTAGCCTGTGGTGCTCAGTAGCTTTTGAATACTGATTACCATCTATCTACGTGCATTTAATGCTAAGGAGGGTAGCCTGTTACGTAAAAGGAGACTTTTAATTTCCTGACTGCTTGTATATGGTGAGATGACAACTTGTTGGTTGTAGCTGGGGGTGAACTGAATTGGTTTCATTATAGAAGAGAGAGGAATTTAGCTGGAGTTGGGATGTTGGAGAAAGGGAAGATAGACAAGAAATAGGAAGGCTGGGATCTGAAATAAGGGAGCAGAAGCGAAGCACTGGAGCTTCTACCAAGGGGATAAGGTGCTTCAGAGGAGGGATTTTTTTTCTCTATGAAATGTTATATAATGGAATCCCCATCACAATTCTGAGATCTACAGCAAAGACAATCATTAAGTACTTAGTCTGAATAGTTTTCATATGAAAATCATATTTGTGTGGCTAAGGCAAATTTGGTTATTAGTAAGTACAAAGATGCCACTGACATCTGAGTTTCACCAAGATTAGATTTAACGAGGAAAATGCAAAACCCTGCAAGTAAATTTAAAAAGTATGGATCAGGTGCTGAAATAAGGTCCAGGGGAGATCTGCTGCTCACAGCTCTTATTGGAAAAAAATATGGAGAATTATCTGAGTTAACCAATTCTGTGTAATCAGTATTAAAATTCAAACAATGGATGCACCAATTAATAGGAGTCCAGGATCTTGTTCAATGTCAGTCATAGTGCCACATCACCCTACTGGCCAGACCACATTCCTTGTTTTTGACTTCAGTCATTGGCAAACTGAATGTTACTTGTTCGAGAAGAATTTGGAAAGCTGTGGCCTAAGAATAATGACTGAGGGAAAGGAGATGTTTAATCGTCAGAAACAATCGATGGTTCACTGGGTAGCTGTCTTCAGTCCTGTGGGAAGACTGCCATGTTGAAGAGAGATAGTTCCTGTCCTGTGGGCTGCAAGAGGTAGAGTTGGAACAAAGGCAGAAGAGGTAGACACAGTATATGAAAAAGCTTTATGGTTGAACGGGGTGTACTGCTGTTGGAAGAGGACCCTTTGTGGCCCTGAGGATTCTAGCAGAGACTGCATGGTCATCTGCAGGAAAGATTGTAGAGGAGACTTCTGGTTTGGGTGAGCAACTTCATGACTTCTTCAGTCTCTCCCACTGGAGAGTCAGTGAAAAAGCTGGTTGCCTTGCTTGCTGTCACTGGTTTAGCATCTGCTTGACCCTTCAGGAGATAAGCTCTGTGAGGACGAGGGCCAAATCTACCTTGGTCACATGGTATTGCTGGGCCTGAAGAAAGATTTATGCTCAAGAATGGCTTGATGAGTTCAAATGAATGGTTGCTCTATCGGGTGGTCAAGGTCAATGGAGCAGCTTAACCAGAGGAGAGGAAATTAATCAGGACTGATTTTGTTTATTTTGTCTGAAGTTGAGTCTCAGCCTTAATGTGCCAGGTTGTGAGTCAACAGAACACAATGGTCTTATTTCTGACTTCATTGTTTAAGTATGTACTTGCATTTCTCCATTTATGAGTTGATAGAGAAGCAATAGGGTAGAGTAGTTAATACCACAGACTGCCTTGCATTATTTGGAAGTTTCTTAGTTTTCCCACATTTCAGTTTCATCTTCTGTAAAATGAGGAAAACAATTGTACCTTTCACAAAGTTACTATGGGGATAGAATGTGTGTGTATAAATTGCTATATAAATTGGTATACATTTTTAAAAATTAAGCTACTGGTAAATATAGGATACAGTAGGGTTTTGCATGAGTGTATACATAGGAGCCATGAAGAAGCCTACTAAAATTTTTTTCATCACCATTTGGACACACACCAGTGAAGTAAGGAGGAGGTAGAAGGATGGATTTGAGTCCTAGCTTTGCCACAAACCATGATCTTAGGAAGTTCATTCTTTCTTGAACATTATTAACGCAGGGCTGAAGATACTAGTCGTGATTACCTTGAGAGTAAAATGAGCTGCACTGTGTGATAGGGCCTTGCTCACTGTGTGGAATAAAACACATGCCTTTTCTTCTATTATTACTTGTATTTTTATGCCCCCTCTCTTTTAGAGTGGGGACCTGGCTTAGCTGCCAGTTTATAGGGAAGGGATTTTCTTGTCTTTCAGCTTTAGCTCATCTCCCTCTCATAACCTTTCCTGGGAGAATAAGAGGAGGGAATGCTTTTCCTTTGCTTTACAGCAGATCAGGATGCTCCTGTGTGAGGTCCAAGATCAGAAAGAAAAATCGCTATTTTGATTTCCACCCTGTTCTTCCATGCCATTTCTTTCTCAGTCCCTCTCAAAATTTCCCTAGTTCTCCTGTGGCATAAAGTGAGTCAGAATGGCAAATGAAACATGCAGAAGACATAAATTCCAGGCATAAAAAATATATCAAATATACATCTATCAATTCACTTTATGCTATCTGAGCTGCCCCCAGGGTGTCAGTGGATCAGGTGAATGGATTTCTGCCACTGTGGGTTATTCCATAAGGTAATAGGGAGGGCCCTAATGCAGTGGAGAGGCAATATTCTCCCAGTTATATATCATGGTTTAAGAGGGGAATTTGTATATTTTGATTTTGCGAGTCAATGAAGTTGAGTCCCCAAGGCCCTCTGAAGCTGTGGAGAGGAACTGGCTCGGCGCCAAAAGGCAGTCCGCAGAAAGCGAAGCCACTGCGACTCCAGGGGCCTGGTCCGGGAAGACTTGGGGTAGAGAGAATCACCACATGAATATTATATGGTTTTTCATTTAATTGGCCAAGTTAGCTCTTATACCAAAGAGTGAATTTGTCTAACCAAAGGCGGAGGGGGGGTGGATTCAAGCTATTTGATTGACATACCTAACCAGAATGGTCAATCAATTAGTTCTGCACATGGTGCTGATACAGCTCTGACATGATATAGTAAAGAGTGCAGAAAGATGGAGATGGAGAAAGAAACACAAGGCATAGCTGATACTTCCTGAGATACATTTTATTTCCCAGGCACTATGCTTAGCACTTTCCATGCACTGACTTAATGCTTTCCACAGCCCTTTGAGGTAGGAACTATGATTATCTTTTCATTTTATGCTTGAGGAAATTAAAGATTAGAATTTAGGCAGATTGCCCAAGGGCCACCTAGTTAGTGGTAGAACTGGGATTCGAGCTCCCTCCTAGCCCCTAACTACTATACCGTGCTGCTTCCAAAGGAGAAAGGCTGTTTCCTGTTTAGGGATTGTCCTCTAGGCTCCAGGAAGTCTGATGACTTAGGTTCAGAAAAGTCTGATTGGAAATGAGAGGATTAGACGTGTGCCTGGACACAAGTTAGTATTCCTGAATATATCCCCATGGGCTTCAGAGTGGTTTCTGCAACTCTGCAAAACTAGTGGGAGGTAGGAAGGGACATGCTTTGACCTTACTTTTGAAAAAAAGATCTGTTAGTAAAATCCACATTTTGGACCTGAGCCCAAGCATAGTTATTAGGATCTGATGACTTGCCTTAGACTGAAGAGTAGTGCTGTTGGGTGGATAAACGATGGGTTAGCCATGTCCTGACTACCGGTTTGAACAAAGCTAACACTGAGGTTGACAGAGTGGACAGATGGAAAGAATCTGGGTCCACGATGACATAATGAGCTGAATTTAACCAAACCAGAAGGCTGACAAGTAGCCGCAGACTTGTTATGTGCTGTTAAGTTCTCTTATTACAAAATCTCTTAGAGGTTTCTGATATTCACAAGCGAGATCTCTTAATACAGACATGGGGTGTTCAATAAACACTTGGTGAACAAATGGAAAAATGAAGGTTTATGTTCTAAGGATGGAAAAGTATTTTTTTGAATCAGAACTAGAATAGGAGGATGTAGAAAAAAGTATGGGTAATTCTAATTTTACTATATTGAGTCAATTTTAAATGCACCAGAAGATAAAAACTGATTCCTTTTGAAAAGGCATATTTTATTTGTCTTATAAATTTACTTTTTTTTAAAAAAAATTTATGCCATATCTGTGGTCATTATGGTTGAAAGAAAAATTCTGTCAAGAACCAGGATAAAATGTGAGGAGATTAGGTAGTTTTAGTGGGGAGTTTTTAGTAAAACATTAATCAAATATCTATCATGTGCTTCCTATGTGCCAAACATTTTGCTTGGCTTCAGGGTTGCAACAATGAGCAAGGCAGACACGATTTGGTTATCAAGAAATTTGGAATCTGAGATAACTTTTATTTCCTTGTTATCTAGACTGAAAGCTTCCCGATAATTCATAATCCAGTATAGAACCATTAGTGACAATTTTGTTTTACTAAAAATTACACTAATTGCATAGATATAGAGATACAATACTATAAATATAAATACAATTAATAAATGGTATTGAGTATTGAGGACTTACTATGTGCCATACAGCAATTTTAAATTCCATTTATGTATGCAATATGTACCTATAACAACTCTCTAAGACAGATCCTATTAGGAATCCCGTTTTGCAGATGAGAAACCTGAGACAGAGAATTGATCACATTAAGGCTGCACACTTAGTAAGCTGCTTGACGGGATTTGGACCCTGCTATTCTCATTCCTACAGGTGTGGCATTTTATCTCATTTGCACAGATTTGAAACCAAGGACCAGTCAGTGGACATGACTCATCCACTTACAGTTGAGAGTGTCTGCAGCTGTCTTACTGAGGTGATCTAAGTAGCAAATGAGAGATGGTAAAAAGTGCATAAGTCAGTTCCTGGTTATACAAACTTTTAAAAAATAGAGGGTTTTTAAAAATTTTTATATGTTTTTTGCATCATTCTTCATTTTTGTACAATGTATGCTTTCTCATCTCGGTGATGGTCCCCGTGAATTCCTGCCACCAATTCACCCATGTACCATCACCCTCGTCCCTTGTGCTCTTCCCACCTCTGTTTTGATCCTATTCCCTTCCTCCCCCACCCTGTAGAATATATTTGGCTTAGAGTTGCCTGTTAATTTTGATATTTACTTTATTATAATATTTATTTATTTACTTACTTATTTTACTGATCCTTTATTGTGATCCTCTACATTCCTCATAAAAGGAGACCATCCCATATTTTTCTATTTCTTTCTGGCTTATTTTACTGAGTAGGATCCCTTCCAGCTCCATCCAAGTTGCTGCGAATGGCATGAGTTTATCTTTTTGATTGCTGAGTAATATTCCATTGTGTCTATACACCACATCTTCTTGATCAAGTTGTCTGTTTTGGGGCATTTGGATTGTTTCCGTAGCTTACCTACTGTAAATAATGCTGCAATAAACATAGGGGTGCAGATGTCCTTTTGAATTAATGTTTTTTTTTTTTTTCCTTTGGGTAGATATCTAGAAGTAAAATTGCTGGATCATACGGAAGCTCCAGTTTTAGCAGTTTAAGGAACATCCAAACAGCTTTCCATAGTGATTGGACCAGTTTGCATTCCCACTACCAGTGTAGAGAGTTCATTTTTTATCCATAGCCTCACCAATATTTGTTGTTGCTAGTTTTTTTTAATACATGCCATTCTCACTGGTATGAGATAGTATCTCATTGTGATTTTGATTTGCATTTCCCTGATTATGAGGGTTTTATTATAATAAATACCTGTCTTATTTCTGCTGTAATGTTAGAAACTATCACAAATCCCTGAATTTCCAAAAGTCATAGCATTTGTTCACCGCACCTGCTTTCTCTAAACTTCTCAACTCATTGGTGGCCCCTACTTACTTTGCAAGTGTTGCAGGACAATTGTAAAAGACAAAACAGACTCAGGAGTGAATGTCAGTCTTTTCTAATTATCTATTTCACTCTTCTGAGAATGACCAGGGTTAGCACAAGAAATCCAGGAGGACTAGATCGTAGGTTCCTTATCAGTTTCCAAAGGGTAATTTACCATCAAATTTTAGGATTGAGAAAGTCCCTAAAGAACATGTAGTCTAGGGCCTCCCTGGTGGCACAGTGGTTGAGCGCTGGGTTGTGAAGCTGCCCGCAGCCTCTGTAGCGCTGGTTCGATCCTTGGCTGCTCCTGGGACCACCGGAGAAGGGTCCCACATAGCATGCAGACCTCTCCTGACCCCGCCGCTCCCCTCAGCAGTGTGCTTCGGTCCTTCTGCCTGCTCTGCTCCCTGCTCTGGCTCTGGTGAATTCACTCTCACCCTCCCGTGCTTCTGACTGTACCCAGTGCTTGTATAAATAAATAAATAAATAAATAAATAAATAAATAAATACATCTTTAAAAAAAAAAAGGACATGTAGTCTAATCTCCCATTTGAAGCTATATATCCTTCTTTGGGATTCCCACCAAGAGACATTTTCTAAAATTTAGATTTGGGGCTGGAAGTGTACATGGGGATGTGTCTGATTTTATTCTATTAATGCCATGCTCCTGAGAATTTTCCCACGCTGTGATTTGTTCATACTCATTTCTGTGTAGTTTTTCAATATCTGACGATAGCACAATTTATTTATCCATTTATCTGTTGATGGACAATGTTTTTTTCCCAGTGTGGTGGTAACATTTCCATGAATATTTTAGTACCTGTCTTACGGTGAACAAAGTTCCCATTTCTGTTGGGCATATACCTCGGTTGTTATTGCTGGGTCATAGGAACACAGGCTTTGGCTTCATTCAATACTGCCAAACAATTTTTCAGAGTGGTTTTTTCAGTCTAGAAAGATTCAGTTACATATTGTATGGGGCAAGACCTAGTGGGCTATGTTGGAAGTCCCACTGTAACTGAGCCTACATCTGGACCTGAAGCATCAGGTCAATAAATCTATTTGCTCAACATATATTAACTGAATACCTACTATGTGTTAAGTGCTGTACTAGAAGCTGTAAGGCTTTGGGGACCTTATGGATTAACGGAGAGAGAATGCAACACTGACATTGGTAATTCTATATTTATAAACTGTGACAAGTGCTAGGAAGGAAAAGTGCAGAAAGCCATCAACCCAGCAGACTAGTGCTTTCTCCCCCGCCTCTCTTTTCTTCCTACAGGGAAGGGGGAAAAAAGCAACTTACCTCTAACTGTAATAGCCTTAATTGTGAACGAGCTTCTAACCTGTCAGATTGGAACCTAATTAATCACCAAGGGTGGTATGGAATTGATGAATTGCTTTGGTGCTCTTTTACTAGTATAAATCTTTGATTTAATGATTGCTGCTCTCTGATTCATACCATGCTACCCCTGTGATCAATATGCATGAAGAATGGCTGATTTTCAAGAACCACCCACTTGGTAATGCTCCTTTACATATACAGAGCGTGTATATATGAATTAGTACCCAAGACAGATTCCTGACAAAGAGGCAGTGGGTGAGGTAATATTATGGGTTGAGGAGGAGGAGGGATAGAGCTAGGAGAGATGAATGGAATTTGCTAATAGACATTGGGAGGAAATTTTCAGAAAGGGCAAAATAAAACAGTGAGAGAAGCTCTTTCTCCATTTACTGTTTAATCTGTCTCCCTTGGTTCAAGTCTTTCAGTTCAAAGATCAGATGTGACTTTGGAAGACACTTACTATCCACAGTCTTCAGAATGAGAAATTCATTGTAGGAGATGAGTTATACACAAATTACTGGTTACGGTTCTTCATTCCTTTCCTGAATGTCCAGTGCTGAGTGGGGAGTAGGGTAGGATATTGCCTGTGGTTTGCAGTAGTCTTTAGAAAGACCCTGTTTTGTGATTTGTCTATTGGTGGTCTGTTAGATTCAGAGCTGTTTATTATTGAATATCCATCATATTACAATCCCTAAGTAAGGTACTGGAATTGCATAAGTGAAGACAGCAGGAACATTTACCTGGAAGGATTAGTGGGGTCACCAGAGCCTTCTTCAGGTCTGGTGGGCACTCACTTCTGCTCTTCACTCTGGGTCCCCTGAGCTACCTGGTTTCTAGTTTCGGAGAATTAATTATCTTTAGTCCTGTCGCTCTCTCCCTGACTCTTTCACACACCTATACATATACATATATTTTGTGATTCAGTTTCCTCACTTGTCAAACCTTGCTCTCTCAAATTTCTCAGGGGAAGCCAGATTTGTGGAGAATAACCAGAAAGCAATAAGACCATGTCTCATGTGAGTCTTGCAGAGACCAGTCCTGTTGTTGCCATGTACTAAATATGTCACCAGCTGGAAGAGTGAAGAATTGTATAAATGTGAGGGGTTTTGAATTCCCACTTGGAAGACATAATCAAGGGAATGTCAGGTGGCTTCTTGGGGCATCATTGTTTTTGGTAGGAAGAAATTGGAAATCACTTTAAGACTCATCCTTGGTATTCAGCCAGGGTGATGAATCATGATGAAATGATTCAAAATGATCATGTAGACCTCTATTGATATGAACATAGGTTCACATCATATTGTTGAATGTAAAAAAAAAAAAAAACCTGAAGTAAAGCACATATAATTCCAATCTCTGGAATTTAGTAAGTAACCAATAAATATTTGTTGAATAAACCTATAATTGGATTTTTGACACTACCTGCTTATGGAAAAAAGAGATGTATGCCCTTAAAAAATTAGGCAGTTATTCCTGGGCTAGTGAAAATTCAATTAAAAAAGAAAGCATTTTTAAAAATGTGTATTCTAAATAGTTTGATATTTTTATAATGAATGTGGGTTTTTTAATATACCCAGAAAATACAGCTGTTTTCATTTTTTAAAAGCAGTATTCTGAGTAAGAACACTTTCCATCTGTTAGAGGGGAGGCTAGAAGCCTCTCTTCTCTGGGATTTGCTTCTTCTCAGTATGTGAAAGAATTAAGAAAAGCAACTCCTGGGCAAGAGTCTCTTGTTACAAGGCCTAGAGGGCTGATTCTGTCAAGGCCCCTCTGGAGAAATCTGAGCGATTCCGCACTCCCCTCCTGGGAACTGGTGTGCTCTCCCTCTCCTGGAGCTAGGGGATTCTCCCAGTTATTACTATTGTGGCTTCTCCCCTGATTCCCCTCTCACCCGGGCAGATTGCTTGTTTTATCTGGCACCCAGTAGAGTTCTGCTGAGCCTGGGGCCTGTCTGTCCCATCAATCCTCATCCAATTAATTGATAAAAAATTAATAATTTAATTTTAGTGATGGGAATTAGACACCATTCTCGAGCTCCCTTTTCACCAGGCATCCCAGTCACCTCATACAGACAAGCACCTGAAGCAAGAAGAAGGAACATTTTCTGTATTTTAAGTGGATTTGGCCACTTGAGCATCTTTGATTGGAGGGCAGGCGAAAGAACAGGAGGCACAGAGCAAAAAATGGTCCCTTTAGAAATCAGGAGGTTGAAAGGAAATTGGTAGGGAAAAATCGCATTTGTTCCCTCAGTGCTATGGATATTTTGGGACTTTTGCCAACCTACTTACTTTTTTTAACCCTGAACTGCACATATGTGACACAACTTCATCGATTTAGGGCTCATTTGAAAGTATGAGCTCTGAATTCGGGCTGTCTTCCCTAGCGATGGAACCTATGGCTTCAATGTTTTCAATTATAAAATAGAACTAGTAAGACAGTCCGCCTTGTAACCATCAGTGAAATAATGTGCTTATAGAACTTAGTCTACTACCTGACCTTTCACAATTTTTTTTAGCTGTAATAATGATGTTTATTAGTGTAATTCAGCATTAGTGATT